CAATAGAAAGGGAGGAAACTCTAAAAAAATTAAAATTTTACTTTCTAAACTAATTATGATTTTTTTGTAAAATAAGTCCAGATTTAACATTAACTCAAAAAAAAATTTTTTTAAAGTTTCCTCCTTTTCTATTGCAAAGCTCCCATATTATTAAAAAAAATAATATTTTAAATTTGACAGATCAGATTTGAATCTAATCTGAATCTGACAGATTAAATCTGTATTCAAATCTGAATCTATTAGATTTAATCAAATCTGAATTCAAATCTGATTCAGATCTAACAGATCAGATCAAATCTAAATCTGAATCTGAATCTGATTTGAATCTAATAAAACTGATTTGATCTGATCTGTCAGTTCTGGATCAGATTCAAATTGAATCAGATTTTTGTAAAATACTAAGAATATCCCTATTGATAACTTAGAAATAATCTGATTAGAAGCTGGATATTAATAAATTAAATATTAATAAGAATAATCCTATTGATATCTTTATAACACCCTTATTAGAATCCTAATATCACCCCAACGTTTACTATCTATACTATCAATCAGGATTATTTGATTTTAAAAAAAAAATATAAAAGACCAATCAGGTCAAATCTAGATTGTCAGATTTGATCTGATTAGTTCTCAATTTATCATTATTTAACTAGTATATAATTGAAAATAAAACAAAATGGCTTAGTTTTAATACAAAACTGTTGTTAACTAAGTTTATATAGTTATTTAAATTTAATAAGTTTCTTTTAATTACTTAGTTAAATTAGTTAAATTAGTTAATATAATTAATGAAATTTACAATTTATTTAGTTTTTATAATTTTACTTTATCTTTAATTAGTAATAGAAGTAAATCAAATATTTTATTTAAATAAAATAGAAAATTACTATTATTAAGTGTATAGTAAAATTAAGTTTATAGTCAGTTAAGAATTAGTCAATTAGTTAAGAGGCAGTTTAAATTCAATTTAATTTTAGTTAAGTTAATTAGAGAATTAATTATGAAATTTATATTTTAATAAATTCATGAACAAGAGTTTATTTAATTTATTGAAATTTATTAATCCACTTATATATTATTAATAAATCAAATATTATTCCTATAATATTGATCTGTTAAACTTGTAACCTAAAACACAATCCATAATTATTACTCTTCCATCTCTTCCATTATATTTGAAATATTTATATGTATTCCCAATTTATATTTATATATCCTTAACATTTTCTATATTTATAAATTAATATACTTTTAATAAATTAATATAAAAAAATAACATTACAAATGATTTTCTTGAAAAGAAAATATCTTTGAAATATTTTTTTTTGAAGAAAAAAACTTTCAAAATATTCATTTTGAAAAAAAAATGTCTCTAAACCATTTTTTTCTAAAAAGAAAATACTTTCAAAATATTTATCTTAAAGAAAAATGCTACTAAGTATTATCTTTAAAAAATATGCTTTAGGAATGTAAAATTTAATGAAAAAATACTTCTAAAGCATTTCTTTCAAAGAAAAATACTACTAGTATATTGTTATCTTTAAAAAATATACTTCTAAAATGTAAAATTTAAAAAAAAATACTTTTAAAGTATTATTTTTAAAAAAAAATACTATCAGTATATTAACCTTAAAGAAATGTTGTTAGAGTATAAACTTTAAAAAAAAATGCTTTTAGAGTTTTAACTTTAAAGAAAAATATTATCAAAGCATTTCTTTTGAAGAAAAATATTTCTTTTAAAAAAAAAATGCTTTCAGAATGTTAACTTCAAAAAAAATACTACTACATTTAAATTTTATTATAATAAAACTTTATTTTTAAGTCATAATTCATTATAATGAGAAAATTTGTTAATTTTTAACAATTTATTTATTATATAGTAATACTAAATATCATTATTTCAATAATAAATATCTTAAGAAAAATATTAATTTTAAAGTAATATTATTAAATAAATCAATTATTTATTTTAAAATATTTATATACTATATCATTCAAAATTTTATACTCTTTTTAATGAATTTAAATATAATAAATGAATAAAAATTAAGTAAATTTGTTAGAACAAATGTGTCTTTAAATTTTATGAAAACTTTGTAAAAAAATACTTATATTTTACAATCTTACTCTTGATTACTACTTCTATAAATTTCACTTTATTATATAGAAATGTTTTCAGTAAAATCAAGTAATAAAATATAATAAATCATATAATTCATAATGTGATTTTATTGGAAATGCTCCCATTTTATTAAAAATATCTCAAATAAGTAATAATAACAAATAATAACAAATATTATATATCATGCATATTATACATATTTTCACAATTAAAATTTACACATTTTTTGCAATTTTACAATTGAAATTTTCAGCAATTTCAAATTTGAATTATAGAAATTAAACAAATTAAATCAATTACTGATTAATTCTAGATTTGATACTGATTAATTTGAGATTCAACACTAATTAATCCCTATAGAAATTTAAATAATTATAATTTACTTTACTATATAAATGAAATCATAACTAAAAATTTAGCTTAATATCTTTACATATTTTATATATTTTATTATATACTTGTGAATATTTAAATATACTTTATTAAAATTTATAATGTAACATTTACTTTAATAGTAATACAAGAAAAAAAATTTACTATATCCCTTAAATTTAATATAAAATTCATTATATAAAAAAACTTTGTTAACAAAAGTTCCATTTATGATACTTGGTACAGAATTTTCAATTCATTATACATAATAGTAAGTTTTATTATAAAAATTCAATTATTTTATTTAATAAAATTTGGGATTACTCATGAAATTCACAATAAGAAAAAATTTTGAATATAGAAATTCGTTATAGTAAGGTTTAACTATACACTTATATGATTTTTATTTATATGCATACCATACTTATAAATTTAGTTGTATATATATATATATATATAACAAAAAAAAAAGATCAGTAAATAGATATTATACCTATAACATAAAAGTAACGTACTAGACAAAATGTATCAGAAATAAATTGATAATACCTTCAGCTTTAAGAGCAAAATGATCTTTTCTAATTCATGGTTTTGTTTTTTTTAATTTATGAATCTTTAATGTATAAATAAGATTAATTTAATCTTAGAATAATATAAAAGTTTATGATATATTTCCCCAACTAGACTTTTTAGTAGCTTATTAATAATATGATTTTAATAATTAAATATAGAAGGTTTACTAGGAAAAGAGAGTTTGAAACTATATAGGTGTTTTGCAGGAACGAAATTGTAAAATATTTTTTTTTGAGTTAATGTTAAATTATTTTGCATATCCCTTTCTGAATCAATAAATTTATGAAGTATTTAACATAGCATGTAAATGTCACACGATCAATCTTTTGTGTAACAATATAGACTGGTGGCATATTAAATGATCATCATATCGGATCCACAGATTTATCTGTGCTACCTTAGACCAGGTTCTCTTTCAAAAATGTCTTTGATTGAAGACTTTATAGAAAATTCTAATGATACTTTAATACCTTCATATACTGCCAGTACTAATATCTTTTTGGATCCGGCGGGTTTTGAGCCCGCCGATCCTGTTCATATGGTAAGCATTTTTTTAGTTAAAAAGTAAACCAAATAGATTTCGACTAAAGTACGCTGTTGTCTATAGCTTTGTATATTCTCATTGTTGTTCAAATTATTTTAGTTAGAAACAGGGTTTGTTAGTGCTGGTTTGGCAGAAGATGATACAGAGATTTTTTCTCTTGATCGTGTTCAGTTTCAATTTCCTGCTCCTTTAGTAGCAATGTCTGTATCCAATGAAGTCCTTGTAATGGCATTGGAAACAAATCATATCTTGAGAATTGATTTACAGCAAGCTCACGATGTTGAAGGTATGTGTAGAAAATTTATTTAATTGATTATGATTCTTGATATAAATTTCATATCTTCATAATCTTTGGGTGTATTCACAAATTGTTTTGAAATTTTGGCAGAGTGAATCCTTAACTAATTTAGCAGTTTTCCATGAAGATTGGTTTATCCAATAAATCTTTGAATTTGTGAATGTACCCAATTATAATTGTTTAATGATTTCTTTCTCATTATTGAATCTAATTTAATACTTATTTATTGTATATAATTTTTATATCTAATAAAATTATTTATATTTTTAATTTGTATGTGATGCATTTCAGATATTGAAATCCCACGAAAACCTGGGGAAGTGAAAATTTATAAAATATTTTTTGACCCAACTGGTCGACACTTACTTATAACGACAGAGCAGGGAGAAAATTATTATTTATTTGAAAAATGGAAAAAGGCTAAAGCCCTCTCAAAATTTAAGGTAGATGTAATCGATATAATCAAAAATTTTAATAATAATTTCATATCCTAATTCACAATTACATTAATTATAATGTCCCTATGTCATATTTTTAATAAATAAGTTGACCCAAATGTTTACAGAATTAATTATCTTAACCCACAATCGCATTTTTAAATGGTATATATTTAATAATTACATTCTTTATTATAAAAGGGTATAATAATTGAGTCTGTCGGTTGGAACAGATTCAATGGATCTTCATCCGATACTTCAACAAAGAAATTTCTTATTGGAAGTCGCAATGGAGTAATATATGAAGCTGAGATCGAACCGACGGATGAATTCTTTAAAAAAGAAGAAAAATATTGCAAACAGGTTTTATATATTTATAAGACAAGTTGATTCTTAAATGGTTCATTTAAGAGATTATTTATATTTTGTGTGAAAATTTTTAGGTCTATTCATTAAATGAGAGCGTTCCCATTACTGGTCTTCGCGTCGAACAATTTCCCGTAACATCGCGAAAGTATTTCATAGTAGCTACAACACCAACTAGATTATATCAATTTGTAGGAAATGCAACTCCATCAAGAGATGATGAGGTTGCTTCGATGTTTGAAAGCTTATTTACTAGATATGATATAAACCCAGGTATTAATAAGCATTTTTCTTCACAATAATATTTGGTTCTTAATGTACCATAAATAATATTGACTCAATTATGTTTTATTATGATAGTATTTCAGGAGCTTCCTGGAGACCTTCCTTATAGTGAATTACAATTTTACTCACAATTTCAAGGAGTTGCTAAAAATTTTGCTTGGTTAACAGGTAGTCAAGTTATATAAATGATATCGTTAAACAAATTTAATATTTTTATATTAATTATTTTTTCGTACTTAATAGGACCAGGTATTTATCACGGAAGTCTTGTATTTGGATCCCAAGATGTTGGTGATAGTGTCATCGATAGTGCAAAATTACTTCCGTATGTTATTTATTCGTTTTCATTTAATTAAATTGATAATTTTGACAAATTGAAAATTGAAATTGTTTTATTAGATATCCGACCACACCTTCAGATAATGACACATCAACTACGAGCACCGAGGTACCATTGTCATTCGCTCTTACCGAGTTCCACTTTATTTTATTATATAAAGAACGTGTAAAAGCAATTTGTCAATTAAATGATCAAATCGTTTTTGATGATTTTATTCCACTTGTGAGTATATTAACATAGTAAAAAGATATATATACCTCAAATTTAAGATTTTCGTCTATTGATAGAAAGCAGGAGAGGAGGTTCGAACTATGACTGTAGATAATGTAAAAAACACATTTTGGATATATACCGATTCTTCCATATTCGAACTTATTGTTTCTAAGGAAGATCGAGATGTATGGAAGTTATATTTGGAAAAACAACAATTTGACACGTCTTTACAATATTGCAAGGTAAAGTAATATAGTCAATTTCGATGATTTATCAATTTATTAAAGAGAGTTAATCTAAATTTCCTATTTCCAGAATCCAGCTCAACGTGATAAAGTTCTTACAACTCAGGCTGAACATTATTTTTTATGTAAACATTATCTTTTGTCTGCTACATATTATGCACAATCGACTGTACCTTTTGAAGAGGTTGCGCTTAAATTTGTTGAACGAGATGAAAGAGATGCTTTGAGAAACTATTTATTGAACAAACTTGATAAGCTTCGTAGACAAGTTAATGAATAATTAATATTAAGAAAGTTGTTTTTGGTTCTAATCTCTTTCAATCATTAAATTATTTTGATTTTTATGTTAGGATCGAACTCAAAAGACAATTATTGCTACTTGGTTAGTTGAAATTTATCTAAGCAAAATTAATATGTTAGAGAATTTAGCAGCATCAAGTGCAGGCTCTGATGATATTAATAACTATAAAGCAGAGCAGAACGTTTTGGAAGAGGAATTCAAGGGATTCCTAGAACAATATAAGGTATGTGTCGATTATTGTTATTATAATAATTTTTTCTTTTTACGCACATGGTCTTATTAATCTTTTTCCTTAGGCTGATTTGGATAAAAAGACAACATATAATTTAATTGCTAGTCACGGGCGCACCAATGAATTATTATTTTACGCATCATTAATAAGTGATTATGAGAAAGTAATTTCACATTGGATTCAAGAAAGAGATTACAAGCAAGCACTGGGTGTTCTTAGTAAACAAGTACTATTCGTTAACGATAATATTTGGTTATTTAAACTTAATTATTATAAACTCATATTTATGATCAATGATAATTAGGCTTCCGTCGATACGATCTATAAATTTGCTCCTGTGCTAATGGAGAATGCACCTAGCGAAACTGTTTATGTTTGGATGAGACAACCAAACCTTAATCCAAGAAATTTGATGCCTGCTTTATTAAAATATGATCATTTAAAAGCTCCGGAAAACACCACACAAGTAATATTATATTACAATAATATATATTTTTTATATATATATTTGGAAACCTAATCAACACATATATTATAATTATAGAATCAGGCAATAAGATATTTGCAATATGTGGTTCAACAACTCAATAATACGGATCCGGCTATTCATAATTTTCTCCTCACATTATACGCGACACAACCTACACAAGATGAGTCTGCCTTACTCCAATTTTTGGCATCGGAAGTATGACCATTTCTTTTTGCTATTATATACAAAAATAAATCCCATTTATTCAAATATTCATTTTGTGTAGGGACGAGAACCATACTATAACCTGGATTATGCTCTTCGGCTTTGTAGCCAGAATGGAAGGATGCAAAGTTGTGTACACATATATAGCAATATGGGGCTTTATGAAGAGGCTGTTGATTTAGCATTGAAGGTAACACTTCTCGCGTTGTGATCATATCGTATGATAAATTAAATAAATTTTGTACATTAAGCATGATGACTTGGAACTTGCAAGAATCAATGCTGATAAGCCGGAAGATGATGATTCTTTACGTAAGAAACTTTGGTTGAAAATTGCACGTCATGTGGTCGAAAAAAAAGAAGATATAAAAACGTAGGTTTATTATACAATTAAAGTAGGTATAATTAAAAATTAACATTGTAGTTAAATCGATTTAGAGCGATGGATTATCTCCAGCATTGCGATCTGCTTAAAATCGAAGATATTTTGCCATTCTTCCCCGACTTTGTTCTGATAGATGACTTTAAGGTAATTTCTTTATGAAAACATCAATTTAGTTAATTACCATAATTCAACCGATTGGTTATTTATTATTATAGGAAGAAATATGCGCGGCCCTTGAGGAATATAATTCAAATATAGAGGAATTAAAAGCAGAAATGGAGGAAGCGACTAAAAGCGCTGAGAGCATTAGATTAGACATACGAGAGTTACGATGCCGGTAAGATATTTAATCCAAATGTATATTATTACTCTCTTTTTATACTTTAATCCGACTTATAATTTTTTTTTATAACCAGACATGCGGTTGTAACAACTGGAGAAAAGTGCTCCTTATGTGATTTTCCGCTGTTAACGAGACCATTTTATGTTTTTCCTTGCCAGCATGCTTTTCATGCTGATTGTTTGATAACCAAAGTAAGTAACTTATTGTTTAATTTGTAAATTTGATGATGCGTTAAAGTATTTGCTGATATAATCATAATTATTATTATTAGGTTACTAAACATCTGAATGCGGGACAATTTCGTCGTTTTAAAGAATTGCAGCAACAAATAACAAAAGAAATGAACAATGTTAATCGTACTCCTGATAATAATGAAGCACGTGGACGACAGCAACAAACAACTGGAGGTTTAGATCGATTAAGAGGATTGATATTGCCAGATACAACTGCACATAGTGGTGATGATGTTGTTGTTGTTGTTCCAAAAGTCGATCAACTAAAGGTACATTATCAAATCAATTTTTAATCCCTAATACATTTTATTTTATTTTTTTTTTATTTTTTTTAAAAAAAGGATGAGCTAGACGATTTAGTGGCATCAGAATGTATTCTTTGTGGAGATATAATGATTAAAACTATTGAACAACCATTCATCAACGAAGAAGAGAGTGATCTGTTGGAATCATGGGCCATCTAAGAACTATTATTTAAGTATAAATATATTTATATTACCAAGCATTTGTAATATACAGTATAATAATTTTATAAAACGTATATTAGACTTCTTGTACAATAAGAACTATAAAATTTTATTTGTCTTATAAATTATTAGTTTATTAATGAATACATCATTATTAATGACCAGTTTTCATTTCATTTCATTTTTTTTTTATGAATTGACTTTTCGTCTTAATCACGACTGTTAATCGAATTATTGCATTCAATGTGTATATAAAATTTTTTTATCATCTTGAAAGACCGAACATGAAGTCCTAGGAAAGAAAGGCATAATTCAATGTTCAATCGAAATTTTATAGTATGTAATGGCCTTATCATTTGTTTGCCCACATTTTTTATCGTTTTTATAAAATTTGGAAGTGGCCATATTATCTCAGCTGATCACAGTCACAGGAATTGCACGAAACATTTCCGTAATTTAGAAGGCACAAATGAAACGGATTATGGAAATAATGATGGGATATGTATTAGAACTGTAAAATGTATATGATAATCCTTGTCATGTATCACAGATTAGCTCTCGATTCTCGTAATTTATTTTTGTATAGACCGCTGTATAGCGAAAAATTTAGCATTAAGTAGTATGGAGTAGCGGGAAGGAACTTTCAATAGGTTAGCTAGCTAGTCCCTCAAACAACCACTACTTCAAAAATATTATTTTTTAAAGACTTCGTACAATACACAAAATAAAATAAACAAACTTAAGCAATTAAAAGTAAATTCCGACACAAAATAGCAATTACAAACAAAGAAAAAGTGATGGAAGGAGTGTTTATACGAAATCAACTATTATATGGTTTTGAAAAACTTCATCAAATTCACCGTCAAGTTTTCCGAATCAATGCACTATCAGATATCGACGTCACATTAGTATGTTTTGCTATCGTTATTTCTTCATTTATGATAAGATTAAGATTTGCTAAAATATATGATTGGGCATCTTTCCCAAAGGTAGTATCCCTTGGATTTGGAAGCATCCATCTATGATATATCTTATTATGCGTTCCAGAAGTGATGATATTATATCCTTTGTTCCGTGCAAATTTGATGTACAGATCGCATAAGTAATAACATTTCTTAGATACCGTTATAAACGACCTACTTCGATATTTCTGATCTACTATTTTGGTCAATATATTCAATTCTGCGTGTAAATTTGTGTGTTGACTAATTTTCTCGTCCAGTTGGTCATCATATATCTCTCTTAATCTTGCCCGTGTGATGTAATCATCCAAACATCTTTCCTTGAATTTTTCATATTCTTTTTTATCAGAAATAAACATTTGAGTAATTTCCTTCCATGAGGATATGCGCTGAGTAGTCATAATAGGATCCAACTTTTGCACATACATATTAGAAAATAGCTTTTTGTAATCATTCTTTAATGTACATACAGTCAATTCTTTCTATAGCGAATTTTGATATAACAAATTTCACGATATAACAGCAGTATGGTACAGATTTTTAAATATAGAAAAAACCTTACTACAGTAACACCTCCATAAGTGCACGCACCTCGGGCCAGCCATGCACGTGCACTTATGGAGGGTGTGCACTTATAGAGTAGCCAATAGAAAAATAAATTTTATTACACAAATTAAAAATCTGACAAAATTTTAAATTCATTACTTATTTTATTTAAACTTCATGTATTTAAGCTAATTTTATATATTTTTAAACTCCAAGGTATTTATTTAATCTCAATAAACTCAACTTTCCTCAACTAAATAATATTGGGAATCCCAACCTCCAGAACCCACCTGAAAATGACGAAGAGGACAACTTTGGCCTCGATAACCCCAACAACCACCACTTATTTTTCAATGCACAAAAGGCAACATATTTTGCGAAATTATAATAACTTTTTAACGAAAATACATGTTAAGGTCGGTTTGTCGCATTAAGCTTGTCTTTTTGACCCTAAAAAAATTTTCGATCTTTCCCACTAACTTCACATACTTTTCTGCGTTATCCTGTTAGAGTAAAAATGTACATACAGTTTCTAAGCTAGCAATTGCAACACTAGGACTAATAATGAGAATTTCATCGCTATCATCCATTTCATCTAAATCTGTATTCTCCTTATCAGTATTTTTAAAGAGATATACGAGTTCTTCAATAACTTGATCATCTTTGAAAACTTCGTAAACAACATTCTCTTCTGGTATGTTAAAAAACTCTTCCGTTTGCATTGGATGGGGGAAATTAAGGACTCAAAGTGAATCCGCAATATCACGAAGTACCAAGTTTTCATTTTGGTGAATATCTTCTGAAACAT